ATTTTTTCTGTAAAAAACTTTCAAAAATGACCATTTTTGACATTTTTTCTTCCGGAAAAGGACCATACATGAATCTATAACCACTAATTATTTTTTAAAGAATTATTTGAATCATATTGGAACTCCACAAAATCAGATAAAAAATTCTGAAATTTTGGTTTTAGACCTGCAATTGTGATCGCGCCAAACTTTTTTTCTGTAGATCAAAAATTATTTTGCAGTTCGGAATTGTTCTGTGGGAGAGCGTGCACCGCCACTGAATTCAGATCAATTAAGCCGTTGGAATAGGTCAATTTTATGGAAAAAACGAGACTGAATAAACGCGAAGATGAGTCATCGAAAGTGACACATAAATCGTCGAAACGACAAGTTTATCGTAGTTTTGAGATGTCAAATAATGATTTTTTTTTTCACTTTTCAAAAAATTTCACTTCCTAGAGAAAAGCAATAAAAAAAAATCTCGAGAAATCTTGATTTTTTTTTTGAAAATTTTTTTCAATTTTCTCGAACTTCTCGGATTCCCAATTTTTGAAAAATTTAAGAGTTTTTTGAAACAAATATCTTCTCAAATTGTGATAGCGCAGTTTTTTTTTTCAAAATTTTGCACCGAAAAATTCGACGAAGTTTCCGTAAAACCTGTAATAGAAGGGCCCCCCCCCCATACTGTCAAGTTTGAACTCAATTATCTCGGTTTCTATGAAAGATATCAAAAACGTGTCAACTGATAAAATGACAAACAATTTTTCAGTTAACAATGTTTTTATATCTTTGATATGTTGGTGATAATATGACAAACAATTTTTCAGTTAACAATGTTTTTATATCTTTGATTGCGAGATAACCGAGATAAGTCAGAGGGCCCTTTTGTTACAGGTTTTACGGTTCGTTCAAAATTCATGAAAATCTGGCAATTTGACCAACATTTAGCAAGATTTTCATCGAAAAATAGAGTTTCCAGAAATTTCTATTAAATTGTGGAGTTCCCGGAATATTTTCCACTGAAAAAGTACCGAAATTTTCTGATTTCAAACACACATTTTGAAGGGGGGCCCTTCTATTACAGGGGGCCCTTCTAATACAGGTTTTACGGTAATGCTGAAATAAACAAAAAAAACTTTGAAGTGGAAGGAGAAAACCAGAAAATTGGAAGATTTCAGAATGGAATTTTGAATGATTTGAAATTCAAAAATTCGAAA